ACACTACCCTACATGTATTTGACCACGCCAGCGAACTTTGGTTCTCTTGCTCTTTCTCTTGTGCATAGAAATGTTGATATTTGAACTTATATGACCGGGTGTAGCGACCGGCTCTGGGCTGAACGACTTAGAGTTCATAGTTCGAGTCACGGTAGGTCAAGAATTTTCTCCACGTCATCCAGACCGACTCTGGGGCCCACCCGGCCTCGTGTCCAATGGGTACCGGTAGCTCTTTCCTCCGAGGTGAAGCCGACCACTCCCCCATACAACTTCATGGTGTAGTGCTTAATTAGCTAAGCAAGGGGACAATTTTACAATTTTACAATTGGCGTCATTGACGTAAGCGTAATACTGTCTAAATAAAGATTTATGTCTTCTTTGATATGACGCCGTGTAGTCCGTTGAAAGTCAACCGATGTTTCGGATAATCCTGTCGCCTCCTTCATAACGACCGCTGTGAGAGCCGCAGATCCTGTCGGTGATAGCGCTGGCATGTGTCGCTGTACCAGCTGTTTTTTCTACTATTAGTTATATAATTTACTCAGAGTGAATCTGTAGTTACATGTGACGTGACACATTGTTGCCGAGACGTGGCGTGCCCTCTATATGCGTTTAGATAGCCAGTAGATACAAGCTACAAAAGACGTGTTGCTACATACGGGGCAGAAAAATGGACCTTAACAGTAACAGAAGAGAATGCACTGAGAATGTTCGAGAGAAAAATAATACGCAAAATGTATGGACCAGTGATGAAAAATAATATATGGATGATAATATACAACGAAGAGATAAACGCGTTACTGAAAAGGAGAAGATATGGTAAGATTTATCAAGTCACAGAGAATAAGATGGTTGGGACATGTCGAAAGAATGGAAGATAATGCAATGCCAAAGAGAATGTTAAAAGGAAGACCCAGGGTGAGACGGCCAGACGACGTTGACAACGACCTGAAGAAGATGAAGGTGAAAGGATGGACAGAGAAGATGAGGAATAGAGAGCAGTGGAGACTGGTTGTAGAGGAGGCCAGGGCTCACCCAGGGCTGTAGCTCCGAGTGGTAGGTAGCTAGATTTGAGGGAAGCTTCTAGTCGCTAACAGTCGACAACTGTGGCCCTATAGCTTAGAAACTGTCCGGGTTGGAGGGGGATGGGGGGCAAACACCTCACTAGAAATCTCCCACGGAACGAAATGTTCCAGGGGTCTTCGGACTGATATTGATGATGGTCTCTTGTGGAAACTAAGGAAACTTTGCTTTGTATAACACACTCTCAATTTCTTAATATACAGAAGGATATTCTCTTCTGAAGAAGGACACTGCTTCAACGAGTTGTTAGTAAACGTTAACAGTTTCATCGGGGGAGTCTAATCGTTTTCGTTGAAGGATTTTTGCCTTTTTTCCTGGATTTAATGCGTAAATTAATGCGAGTCAACGATACGTTTATCGGTCATGAATTGTGATGCCACTGCCTGTGTACTCTGGTCGCGATAAGGAGGAGTGTAGAGGCTATGGGATAAGGAAACCGCGAGTAACCTGTTCTGGTATCTTGCTGACAGGAAGCTGATAACATTAAATTAAGTCATACTTCAGTATGATTAATTACCATGGTCACAGTGTTTAATTTAATTGCAGTGGCCGTCGTGTGTTCTAAGACACATACCATCTTCAGCCTTTTGAACATGGGGGTCACGTGTTCGAATCCCATTCAAGGGATGATTATGTATCACTTTTTTTTGTGCCTGTATTTGTCCTTTTGGACCGCCTCTATGGTCTAGTGGTCAGAGTTCCTGGCTACAGATCCAGAGGTCCGGCTACAAGATTTTCTGAGAAGTAGTGGGTCTGGACCGGGGTCCACTCAGCCTCATGAGTATAACTGAGGAGCTATTTCAAGGAAATAGCGGCTCCGGTCTAGAAAACCTAGATTAACTGCCATGGGGATCCGTTGCGCTAACCACGTGACACACACTATCGGCTAAAGTTGGTACTAACTTCGCCAACAAGCGGCGATCGCTCAGTTGGTATGGTTTGCTTGCGGACTACAGGCCACAGCGTTTGTGTATCTGCCCTCTTACAATGAGCCAACCCTCTCCCTTATCCAAGGAGGACTGATAATTTCAGAAGTTAATCCTGAATTGCAAGAGACCAAAAAGGTTGAAGAAAAAGAAGAACAAAAGTTGTAATGTGAGGGAGTCTGACATTTTCATATTCGAGGGTTGGATTATTGCATCATATCCAGTCTGAGTTTGTAACCGACCGAGTTTCAGTCATCATTATTGCTGTACGCATTTTCAAACATATGTGGAACTTTCATCTCTCCTTCCTTTTGAAATCTCTTCTGTGACCTTGAGCTGGAAAACAATCTCCATTGAGAGGAATCCAGTTTAAGAAGCTACTGGCCAAGAAGTTCCTCCCTTACCTTTTACTCGTATGGAACCCAAAAGTTCATTATTATGTATAGACCTACTGAAGCATTGACAACTAGATCCTCTTTTTGAGCCACGTGAATCCAGCCCATGTCATGTGCTGTTCCTTAAAAGGTTGGTTTAATATAATCCTTCCCTCTACCACTAGATCTCGTGAGTAGTTTCTTCACTTCAGGTTTTCCATCCCAAAATTTGTTACATTTCTTATCTTGCTCATGTGTGCTTTGGGAATATACAATACTGTGATTAAATTTTGGCGTTTTACAAGACCTATTTCATTTCCTGGCCCTGAAACAAATTTTAGGGCCCTTACTTTCAGGGTTCACTTTTTAATGAATTTCAGTAAATCGCTTCACTGATGATTTCTATATTTTTGTGATGGATTTTGAAGAGAAAATCAGTGTGCCCCATACCATTAACATCTCATTGTGCATATGTTCTCTAAAGAACTTCAAGCCCTCAATTGTGGAACTTGTATTCTGCAGTACATTATTCAGAACACTGTAAAGCAAGTGTATCTTCAGACACTTGTCTGTGTGAACTGATAAAATTACATGTAAGATTTGAGGCTTTCACGGCGGTGTTTATGAAGAAAGCAGTCTTCTGGGATTTGGCACCGTGTATATGTGGTGTTAACCGACGTTTCGGAGGAACGTATCGCCCCCATCTTCAGGGTAGAAGAAAAAGTATAAGAAATCTGCAAGCGACAACACCGTGAGAAACGGTAAAGCAGACTGCTTTACCGTTTCTCACGGTGTTGTCGCTTGCAGATTTCTTATACTTTTTCTTCTACCCTGAAGATGGGGGCGATACGTTCCTCCGAAACGTCGGTTAACACCACATATACACGGTGCCAAATCCCAGAAGACTGCTTTCTTGATAAAATTACAGATTATCTCTAACTCCCGACTAAGTAAATTATATAAAAAGATGCAGTAGGAGTAAAATTTAGTTTGAAAGTCACATGCATTCTTGAAACTAGAAAATGAACAACGTGGCTATTGTGGCATTCTCTTTGTAATACATGGGAGCTTTTCAAGGTTATTTGTGAGAAGACCGTCACAGTATGTCCTCGGGCAACTTCCTGCAGTCCTTTGGAGTGAAATATAATGTCAGCTAATCAAGCTAGAGTTCTTGTTTTCTGTTTGCATGTTCATCTTGTTACAAATCTATGTAAATGATGTTCAGAGGCCCTCATAACCATTAAGTCATTTTACTCCCTTTCCATGTATACCTACTCAGGGCAAAGCATACAACAAGACAGACCATTAAACATGTAAGGAAAGAACAGCAGAAGAAGTTAAGATATTTTGTTTATAAATTGTACAACAATTGAAGACACAGGATAAGTCTGATTTGATTTGAAGAGCAGTTCAGACTTCTAATATGTGGAAGGAAGCAGCAATGTGTCCTTACATGACGTGTGATTGCCTTTGTTATTATTGTCATCATCGTTTCATTTTGGATTACGTAAGACATATTTCATCTAAGCACAATTTTCAAATTAGGGAAAGAACATGATTTATTCTGTTGGTGATAAATCTACTACTTTGCAGCTTTAGTTGTGTTATTTTCTTAAATTCTACCAAAAAAGTTGGACCTTTGCTTTATTGAGCACCATACCATAAAAATATAAGGGGAAGTGTAGGTATAGCTCTATTTGTTCTTATACTTGTACCCTAGCTGCTTAACCCTTGGGGGAAGAATTCCCAGTACCCATTGGATAAGAGGCCAAATGGGCCTCAGGTGTAGTCTGAACATTGTAAAGAATATGAGAATATTGCCTATGCCAGGAATGGCACAGTCCCTAGCCTAGTCACTGTAGCAACTGAGGTGTCTTGTCAAACCTTACTGGTACAGATCCTGTTACTATAATAATTAGACAAGAATTAAATAAATGTTGCATTTTATTCACTTATTGTGGTGGATGTACCTGCAACAATTTGGACATCCCTACTGGCACCCACTGTTATAGTTCTGCAAGTTAATCATTTGCTTCCTCCCTTTCTACCAATGACATTGAATGCTCAAATTGGAAGTTGGTACATCAAATCCCTCCCAGGCATCAATCTCTGCCATTGTATCCCCCCCCCCCCGAATCACAGCTTCAAGAAGAGTACTTATATAATTTCGCACCCACCTTTAGAATTTAAATTGATAGCCCAGACCTTCAAGCAATTTGGGACATCAGTTAATCTTCATTCTTTTAAATGAATTGCATGTGTTTTGAATTTTGGATGGGAATTCGGTTTCCTTGTTAAGTGCATCATTATTTCAAATGGATGTTCTTTGTCAGCTCTCTTCTGGACCCTTCTGTAATGTTAGGTCAGTGGCTTGCAGTGAAAAGAACCCATTCAATTTTTTTTTTTAAATAAATCAATAGTAATACCCTCTGTTGAAATGTGTGGCCTAAGCCCAGTACCCAGTACCCATAAATTTGGCAAATATTTCTTTCCTCTCAAAAAGATTTTTTATGATGTGGAAAATGACTTCTGTGGTGTTTGTTATGTGCTGTTGAGGTTATGTTGCAAGGCTTCTTTTTTATTTAATTTTTAATATGTGCTTTTAATTTATTTTCAGTAATATCTACTGCTATGGTGATCTTCTTCATACCGTTCAAATGAAAAGAATTTATCATGACTCAAAAACGTTCGTAGACATGAAAATGAAGCAGCCCTCGAATGAAACATTAGAAAGTTTTCGAGAACTGATGAATAGAACTGCATCAGATCCGACTTCTGAACAGCTTGAAGAATTTCTTAATGAGAAGTTTGAACCTGCTGGTAGTGAATTTGAAAATTGGGATCCATCTGACTGGATTAAGCATCCGAAGTTTTTGAAAAACATTGTTGACTCTGATTTTCGTGAATGGGGTGAAAAGCTAAATGACTTATGGAAAGTTCTGGGCAGGAAAATGAAAGCCAGTGTGAAAGAAAATCCTGAACTCTATTCCATTATTTATGTACCACATCCTGTAATCGTTCCCGGTGGGCGATTCCGGGAGTTTTATTACTGGGATTCATATTGGATCGTACGTGGCCTCCTACTCTCAGAGATGTACACAACAGTGAAGGGAATGCTGGGAAATTTCTTCTCTATTGTTGAGAACTATGGCTGTATTCCAAATGGAGGAAGGATTTACTATTCAAAGCGGTCACAACCACCAATGCTTATACCCATGGTGAAGAGTTACATAGATGCAACACATGACATGACATTTTTGAAAGAAAACATTGATATCTTGGAGAAGGAATTTGAATACTGGATGACAAACCACACAATATCAGTTGAGAAAGATGGGAAACGGTATACACTGGCAAGATATAAGGATGCTTCATCTGGACCAAGACCAGAATCATACTGGTAAGGACACCTTAAATAATGGTAGAACAGATGGTCCACCATATTTTAAAAATGAATGTAACAAAACATCACAGTTGAGTGATTGGCTTCATATTCAGACAGACCTGGCATTCAAATCTCAGTTCATAGATCAACTACTCTGACTGTAGCTTTTGTTAGCTTTGTTATGTACCTCTAAGTATATATTGGGATAGTGTCCTGCACAGTATTGTGACCTTTTCTTCCACATCCTCACAAGTTCATTATTGACTAATCCTATCATATGATGCTATGTAGGCCATATCTTAAAAGTGTCATTAAATAAACCAAGGATAGAAAGAATTAATAGCAATTGAAAATAATTGATGTGAAGTGAACTAAACCCCCACCAACTGGAATGTCCGTGGAGGAACCAGTGTCAGAATTAATTAAATTAAACCAGCCCAGTTAAACATTATCTAAAATAACATAACTAACTAACATAACCTAATGTAACATCATTGAAGATACCATTATTGGAATTTGAAATGTTTACTAGCCTTCTTGGTGCTTAAACAATACAGTAAACTCCCATTTAACTTGGGGACAGATTGCTCAGGGCCTTAATGTAGAAAATTGACTCGTGTTCCCAGTGTTAAAAGATAAACTTAGCGTGAAATTTATTTTCTAAAAGGAACCGGTACAAAAATTAAGGGAGTTTTATTTTTCCCTTGAATATGTACTGGGAAACTGGGGAAGGCTTGCTTAGTTTCATTTTTGTTTTTAAGGTATAGAAATAGCACACTCATATTTCTACCTGCAGTGTTTAAGTAAAATACTCTTATAAATGTATGTCTTTTCCGTGTTATGGGTTCAAATTCACAAGTTCATATTCATATTTAATGCGTCTTCCAGAGATCTATGTATATAGATATGGAATCCATCATTATTTATACTAGATAACAAAATAATAATAAGATTTTTAATCATACAGTAGAAATCCGACAAAACATACATATGCTCTAAGCGGCCTCTGTAGTCTAGGGGTAACGTTCCCACCTCATGACTCAAGGTACGCGGGTTCAAACCCGGCGGAGGTTGTGTAATTTTTAAGGGCGGAAAAATTCAGGGAACAAATCCTCCGGGAGGGACTTTAAGCCGTGGGTCCTATGTCGTAGATTTACGGCACGTAAAAGATCCTCATGTCTCTAGGAGACCTCCGAGCAAAATTAGGCAACAATTTCCTGCCCAAGTAGTTTCCAGTGCCTCTGGTAGATGGGGGAAATACCAGATACCGACGGCCGACCTCGTTGGTCGAACAGGGCTGATAGCACGCACCAGTACCGGTAGGGTATGGCAACAGTAGAAATTAAAGGGGTACGCACAATGGACCAATAACTGGTCTAAGTGCATGGGGAAACCCACCCCCTCTAATAATAATAATAATAATATATGCGTCTATGACAGGCCACATATAATGTACCACACACACTATGCAAGGTAACACTATAATAAAATAATTGATCATACAATGTAAATCTGACTGTACATCCATTTGACAGTAACAATCATTTATGTACAAAATATAAAACATGCACATCTGCAATAGGCCGCATAATGTCACTCTTGTCATCATAATACATGGCTTAATTATAAAATCTTATTGTTTTAATCCTATTTCTAGCAGTGTTTCAATTCAAAAAGTTCCTCAGTTGTATGTTCTTTCTTGTCTGGGGAAATTAATTTGCCCTTCACCCTGGATAGGCGCAGGTCTTCTGTACTTCCAGTGTCTGTTGTGAACATTAATAACAGACTGAGAAGACAGAACTAAGATCACCCAGCCTTGTTTTAATGAAGTACAGTAAGCCAATGTTAATTTTCAGGGAAGATGTATCGTCTGCTGCAGAAGCATTTCATACTGATGATGAGAAAGAGGCATACTATTCTGAGTTGAAAGCCGCAGCAGAATCGGGTTGGGATTTCTCAAGTCGTTGGTTCATTCAAAATGCCACAAACAAAGGTGAGTGTTCGTCTGTTAATCCTTATTTTTATGCTATGTTAACATTGAAATTAGTGTCTTCTGGGATGCAGCATTGTGTAATATGGTAGATTGTTATAAATGTTTTGAATGACCCTGCTGCCACCTTTTTGAGGGTGGAATGGAATGGATTGTATGGCTCAGGATGGAGAGAACTTGCGGGAGTGAGGATACTACGATGTAGGGGATTCCTCCAAAGCAATGAATCTGAAGATTTCCATCTTCAAGGACATAACACAGTGTTAGAAAGTTACCAACATTCTCAAAGAACTTACTGCTCCATTTTCTAACCTGTAAATGAAGGTAGCAGGTCTCACAGAACAGTTTGGAATGCAAGATGACAGATAGAACCCAGAAATCTAATAATACTAAATTTATAATTTGTACTCATCACTAATTAGGGGGCATGCAGTAGCATAGTTGGTTGAGGCACTATGCTACAAACCAGAAGGTTGTGGGTTCGATTCCTGATGAGGTCACTGGATTCTTTTCAACTGACCTAATTTTTCCAGCTGCACTATGATCCTGGTGTCGACTCAGCTTCTAACAGAAACGAGTACCAGGAATCTTCCTGGAGGGTAAAAGGTGGCCAGTGCATAAGGCTGACAGTCTTACCGCTATCTGTGAGAAAATGTGGGAGCTTTGATGTCTCACAACCCTATGGGCCTCTACAGCCTCTTGCAGGGATAGCTTTAACTTTACTCATCGCTGATTATTACAGGGCTGAGTGCATCAAGAAGGGTATGGTGGCAGGACATTTGGCATAGATAAGGGAGAATAAATATGCATATAAAATTTTGTTAAAAAATTCTGAAGGGAAGAGACAACTTGGGAGACATAGACATAGATGGGATGATAGTATAAAAGTGGACCTTAAAAAAATGTGGTGTCAGAATATGCGAGCTGCTTTATTGATTGGGCCCAACAGAGTAGGTTTTTTTTTTTAACCTAAGGACAGAGACAAGATCCCAGTCTCCGAAATGTCATTTCAAATAGAAATTAGTGTAATGGATAATGCTGAGAAAATTTGTCATTGTGTGATATAACTCATTTTGCCTACTCATTTCCTTAAGCTGTTCATATGGCGCCCACTGCTTGTTTTTTTAAACATTCATTGTTTTCTGATGTTAGCCTCACATCAAATCCTCAGTTTGCAGGACCATGTTCCACCTTTAATCTGCCTCCCATTCTTTCACATGTATAACATGGGTGATCCTACCAGGACCTTTTGCCCCATCTGGCAAAACTCTTCAGGTTATGAGTACATACAGACAGGCCACATTAAGGGAGTATTCCAGGAGATTTCATGTCATTAAAGAGTTATGTCTCGTGTGATATTATGCCATGTAATCCATTGAAAGTGAACCAACGTCAACCCAGAAAGTAGAACTATTCATGACCACTGCTGTGAGAACCGCAAGTCCTACTTATCAGTAGAGTTTTAGCATATCCCATTAAGACTGAATTTTTGATTGACAGAATTGGAAATGAATTGACGTGATGGTATGTCTATGTAATCATTGTTTTTCATATTGTTTTTGATCTTGTTCTTTATTTCAGGAACTCTTATTGATCTTAAAACTCGTTATATTATTCCGGTGGATTTGAACTCTATACTCTACTGGAATGCAAAGCTTCTTGTAGAATTTTATAAAGACCTGGATATGCCACAAAAATCTGAGAAATACAGAGGCATTGCAGAAGAGTGGTTAGAAGCTGTTACCGCAGTGTTATGGCATGATGAAGTTGGTGCCTGGTTAGATTATGACACAATGAATGAGATTAAACGTGATTATTTCTATCCTACAAATGTTGCACCATTATGGACTGGGTGCTACAAAGAAAAAGAAACTCAAATTGGGAAGGTAATGAAATATTTACAGAAGACACAGATAATGGGGAATCTCGGTGGAATTCCAACAACACTAGAGCATTCTGGTGAGCAGTGGGATTACCCAAATGCATGGCCCCCACTTCAGTATATCATGATTATGGGTCTGGATAACACAGACGATGAGTGGGCAAAGCGATTAGCATTTGAGATGTCAGAAAGATGGGTACGATCCAACTACAAAGCGTTCAACGAATCTGGTGCTATGTACGAAAAGGTAAGTGTATCATGATTATATCTGGTATAGTGACTAGGCTATAGGCTGGATGACCAAAGAATCTGGGTTCAATTCCTGTTGGGGGCAAGAGATTTTTCTGCTTTCCCTCCCATCCATTCTCGTATCCAATGGCACTTATCTCTATCTAGTGTTTAAGTTAAAATCCATGGAGCTATACCTCCACTCCACTTTATGTCTTAATGGCAAGAGATAAAGTTGTACCTGTGCTTAACTAATGAAGCACTATGCCATGAAGGTGTATGGGATGTCTTCATGGTCTGATGCTTAAATAAGCATCAGGATGACCTTTTTTTTTAGTGCTAGTGGGGTGGGTCTAAGTCCCTCGTACTACGGCCACTTCTGGCCTATTGCACCAGCCCCAGATGATAGGTGAGGGTGAATGTGGAGCATTTGGTGGAATGAAGATTGGCAGGGTAAACCGAAGTGCTCGGATGAAACCTGCCCCAGTGCCACTTTATCCACCACAAATCCCACTTGACCAAACCCGGCATCGAACCCGGGCTGCTGCGGTGGGAAGCCAGCGACTAACTGCTTGAGCTATGGTGCGGCCCCAGATCAGGATGACCTTTCTGAGACTTTAAACCTTGATTTTTGTCATTCAGAAGAAAAGTTTATACTTGAATAACAAGGTTGGAAAGATGCAATATGCACTGCTGTTCACATATATTTTGCACCTTGGCATTCTGAATTTTCATTTGAAAGAAAAAACTTTGTGGCTTTAGTCCACAAGCAAACTATACTGACCGAGCAACCGCCACTTGTCAGTGAAGTTAGTGCCAGCTTTTGCGAATAGAGAGTGTCATGTGGTCAGCACAACAGATTCCCGCAGCCATTAATCTCGGTTTTCTAGACCAGGAATTTGTACTTGATTGTATGTAAATTTCCTGAAGCCCTAAAACTCTCTACACTGGTTACTTTGTTTTCCATCATTGGTATAGTTACTGCTCTTAACCACAGTTCCTATTACTGTCATATTCCATATGGCCACTGGCTTTACTAATGGTTACTGCATATCAGTACTTGTGTGAATGTTTCTGCCATTGCAGAAGTATGTCTGCCAAGTTGCTATTCTCTCTCAGTTGTAGGAGAGTAAAATGACATAATGTTCATATCAGAATAGAGTCCATCCAGTAATGATTTGACAGATTTTGTCAAATATTAAGTTGCATCATGGATATCTGGCCAGATGTGTGGACATAACACAGTCATCACTTTATGCATTATTTTCTTGCATATTGTGTGAGGAATACACAGTCAACATTATTAACCTTTGCTTGTCTTGCATTTCATTATTATATTGGCACATATATGTGTAGTCCAACTGGCTCTATATTTTTTCAGTACCGTTACCCCTGAGTTAAGGTTTTGCTACCAGTCCCATACTGTTCTGAGATTTAAAATCTGTTTACAGAAGGTGAAGATTAAAGGCAAACACATTCCTGCTATGAAGATCAGGTGTACTTTTTCTGTAATTGAAAAGATTAGAAATTTTAGCTTTACCAAAAAACTTTCATATGTTTAGCATGTAATATAAGGCAGTATTTTTTAATTTATGTTATTGAAAATAATTATTATGTAAAAAAAAATTAATGATACTGCAGTCCTTGTTTGTTTGCAATTCATCTTTTCGTGTTATGACAACAGTTGTCTTGTGTCTCACAGCATGCGTATCAGTGGTCAAGCAGACATTGTCATATTGTTCATACCGTGCCTCATTCTTTATTTGTTAAATATTTCTAAAAGGAAAATTATATAAATATATTTATGTAGAAGTGCAGATGTCCCCTAACTTAAAAAAAAAAATTAAAATTCGCTTAGTGGGGGGTGGAGTCCGACTGGGTCCACTCGGCACGGCAGGCACTGATTGGCCTATTGTAGCCTGCCCTGGGTGATTATGATGATGGAGAATTTGGTGGAATGAAGATTGGCAAGGGAAACCGAAGTACTCAGAGAAAACCATCCCCAGCATCACTTTATCAACCAGAAATCCCACTTGACCAGACCTGGGATCGAACCTGGTCCACTGCGGTGGGAAGCCAGCAACTAACCGCATAATAATTGCACATGGTTTGCGCTTGTCTGGTTTATTTTGTTTGGCAAATATTTCTTATGAGCGGATGGGTAGCCATAGTTTATTAATCAGTCGAGGGTTATTGAATATGATGCCTAGCATGGCGTTTTGATTTATGTTGAGTGCTTGTAATATATCTGCTCCCCCTTCTTTGCTTCTTATAGGGGAAATTAGGTTGCGACTGTGCCCTAGCTTAAGTAAATTTGACTTTCACATATTTCCCATTAGTTCATGAATTTTCTTTAATTTGATATTGTAGTGGCCAAAAAAAAATTATGAAGTTATTTATGTAAAAGAAATGAGTTAAAATAAATGATATTAAAGTTAATTGAATTGTGTATTTTACAATGGAAATTAAAAGTCATAAGGCCGATGATTAATGAAAATGAATGTGGAATTTCAAATTACGTGACCATTATCAGGAATTTAACTGTCATGTAAATCAGGCGATGTTTGTATAACATTGTAATATATTTACAGTATTTGAATATAGTTTTCTGGTCATGTATATGCTATCGAAAACATCTTTGAGGATTTGTTACCCTCAGATAGTGGCCTAGATCATTATGTCATTGTTAGAAAGTTATTTGATTCTATGTTCAACACACGATGCAAATCAAAATTATCCAGAGATTTCAAACACACAGAATTTCTTTGATGTAATTGCCCACTGAAAACATGATGTGCTGTGTAAGAAGCTTTTGGTGGAAAATAATGTAGCTTTTACAGTAGGACTGCAGTGAGAGTTCCCAGTAGCAGGTGACACAAGGTTATGACAGCCAGCTTAATCGCTCTGATGATGAAAACTTCACACTTATTGCGGTAACCGTTCCAGTATGATGCAACAATTCCTGGTGGCTATGGAGGTGGTGGAGAATATGAAACCCAGGAAGGGTTTGGCTGGACAAATGGTGTAATAATGGAACTGCTAGACAAGTATGGAGACCGACTCACAGTTCGTGACAGATTCTTTGAACCAGAATATAAACCAAACTACCAGTCAGAGTCCAGAATTAACATAGCATCATCAGCTCCTTTGTCGTCAGTAGGACAAGTTCTCACAGGAATCCTGGCACTGGTTGCCACATTTGCTGCAGGATTTATAGGGTGAGGTAAGTAACTTTGAGAATTTTTCAGCATAGTAAGTATGCAAGATTATGGGTTCTGATGGCAGCGAGGATGGAAGTTAAGAAATTTATACTCATATATAAGAGTTTTTTTTTTTTAGCTGTAGAGTAAACTTGAAACTCCCGTGGAAGGTGCCAGAGGGTTCATGCTGACACCATTAATCCAGTTTCATTTTAGTGATCATTTGGAGTTTGGAAGAAGAAATTCTCATTAGTCAGTTTTTTTTTTATTGCTAGTGGGTGGGACTAAGTCCCTTGTACTGTGGCCACTTCTGGCCTGTTGTACAAGCCCCAGATGATAGGCGAGTGTGATTGTGGAGCAGTTGGTGGAACAAAGATTGGCAGGGGAAACTGAAGTGCTTGGAGAAAACCTGCCCCAGCGCCATTTTGTCCACCACAAATCCCACTTGACCAGACCCGGGATCGAACTCGGGCCGCTGTGGTGGGGAGCCAGCAACTAACCGTTTGAGCTGTGGCGCGGCCCTAGTCAAACAGTTTAGTGTCAGCAGTTTTCTCTTAAAGCAAAATCTCACATTTAGCAAAATCCTGCATTTAATGAACTCCTTGTTGGTCATGTGAGCCTGGATAGCTCAGTCAGTATAGCTGTGGGCTGGACAGCTGGGGTTCAGTTCACAGGAGGGGCATGATTATCCTCTTCTCCAGTGTCAAGAGTGGTTCTGGAGCACTCCCAGCCTCTTATACAGCGGGTAACAGGATCTGTTACCCAGGGGGTAAAGCAGCAGGGGTGTGAAGCTGACCACTCACTTCCAACTAGTGCCGAGGTCAAGATAACGCGTATCCACTCCCCCAATACATCTACATTGCATAGTACGTAATTAATTAAGCATAGGGATAACTTTGCCTTTATGCCCTGGGGCATGAAGCTGACCACTCACCTCAATCTAGTGCCAAGGTCAAGAATATCAGAGCTATACCTCCACTCCCCCATACATCTTCATGACGTAGAGCTCAATTAATTAACCACAGAGTCAACTTTTCCTTTTTTAGGTTCATCCCTGCAGGTGCCCAATATAAATAAAATATTTTTTCACCCATATTTAGTGAATTTCAATAATCCACATTAGTGTAAGAAATTTTAAACCTTCCAGATGAAACTGATGCATATCTCCATCTAGTGATAAGGATATGAATGCTTGCAGCTGTGCATTCCTGATGTTAATTAAGCACAGGAACAAATTTGCATGTATTTTTTTTTTTCGCTTACTGAGGGGTGGAGTCCAAGTGGGTCCACTCGGCACGGCAGGCACTGATTGGCCTATTGTAGCCTGTCCTGAGTGATTATGATGAAAGAGAATTTGGTGGAATGAAGACTGGCAGGGGAAACTGAAGTACTTGGAGAAAACCCATCCCAGTGCCACTATGTCCACCAAAAATTCCACTTGACCAGACTTGGGATCGAACCCAGGCCGCCGCAGTGGGAAGCCAGCGACTAACTGATTGAGCTATGGCACGTCCTAATTTGCATGTAACATAAATTGCCAATTTTGTCTGAGTACTGACAAAACAAATGGAAAATATAACTTGCTCAAGTGATGCATCTCTCTGTCTTGAACATCTAGTGTATATGTGTTGTTGTGTCTGAGAAATATATTGATTTGTTTTTCTTCTTTTCTTTGCAGATAACTTTTCTTAGACCTTATAAATTAAAGCTGTTGGACTATGTGTGTTAGCAAGACATGTCAGCACCAGGTCAGGTTAGAGAAATACAGTATGAGACATTTTGACTCGGGAGTTTGCTGTCGGTGTCTTTCTCAGGGTTACTAGTAAAAAACGGTTCCTGTAGATGTCTAATGAAGGACAGCCTTTATACAAGCAGTATTTTTTTACATCAATGTGATTTCTGTTTTATGTCTATTGCTACATAAGTAAAATGTATTTATTGTTTCCAGAATAGAATAATTTTGGGGAGGGGGTTTGTAAGCCCTTTCTTTGTAGTGTTAATGAAATTTAAATGCATTTTTCTAAGCAACCATAACCTATACTGTCATCATATCTGAAACACATGCAGTTGAAGAACTGGTATAATGACTGGGCTACAGGCTGGATGACTAATGAATTGGAGTTTGATTCCTGGCACAAGCAAGAGGTTTTTCTCTTCTTTGTGATGTGCAAACCAGCTGCAGGGCCCACCCAGCCTTCTAGCAATAGGTATTTGGGGATGTTACCCTGGAGGTAAAGAGATGTGATATAAAGTTGGCTGCTCACCTCCATCTAGTGCTGAGGTCAAAAATGGCGGAGCTGTACCTCCACTCCCTCATATATCTCCATGGCATTGTGAAACAAGACCTCAAGGGGCGTATTCTTCTATTGTCACTTTATTACTCAACGCTGTAACTACAATTCAACGTAACTATAACACAGAATGTTGAACAAGTAGTTTCACAGTCGCTCTTTTGGGTTAACAACTCTCACTAGACTGTAGAACTGTCCATCTCTTCATGCTGGCTAACCACTGGCTTCTTTCGGCCTCCACTCTCTTCTGTCAGTCCTCAGCTTCTGTCTGCTCAGCTGCCACAGTCGATATATATATATATATATATGTGTGTCGGACAACTGTGAAACGTCGTCTCCGCAGCACATCTACTGTTATGTCACAGCAGGGAAATGTTTACTGGCCTGTTGCCCTTAGCAGCAGCAGCAGTAGCAGCTCGTGTGCTGTTACGTCACCACGGGGAAGGGATGCGTTATTGCTGAGTCCACGATTCCCAACACATGGCATGGTGCTTAATAAATTAAGCCCAGGGAAATACGTATACAGATTTTTAATACTTTTTTCTGTAAAGGAACATTTTATTGGTTGACATTTTTTTATTTTGTTTCTGAGAGAGCATAAAACACGTTTTAAATTTTTTTTCCCTAAATGACAATTTTTAGGAACATAATATACATATTTCCAGAATATTTTTGTTACTAAAATATGTTTTAAGTAAATTTCATAATTGTAGAGCTTGTGGTTGCTTAGAACATGCTTTGAAGTTTGATAAAATGTACATAAGTTTGGACTTTCATACTTCCCTTGAAATATCTCCAATTTTAAGAGTGTATTTATAGAGCGAGTTTATGTAAATGTGTTGGTTCTCCATTCCACAGTTTTTAAATTCTCTGCACATCAGAGAAATGCGAGTAGAATGATGTAAGGTAATCATGCCCACCTTATCTCAAAAGATGTGATTACTTTACAGATTATAATTCCTGATAGAGATGATATTTAACAGTATAGTTTGTTACAATATTATTATTTTTATTGAAATATTTTATGTATTAAATTATTGCTTTGTATATATTGAAGTCGTTAGATCAACATATAGTTATTAGTTATGCAATTGAGATGTCCGGTAGTAGTTGTATGTACCCCAGCGTACTCATTTTGTTTGATGTATTTAAGTTATTTTATGTGTTTGAAATATGTTAAATGTTGGGAATGTTGTGTCTGTCGAGTTGTCTGACTCTTGCATGATATACTATGTTATGTCCTTCCGAGATGCTTGCTCAGGCCAGTAGGATTACATTGGACTGCATGACATTCATCATGTTACCAAAGTATTTATGTATCCATGCTTATAATGTTTGTATGGTTGCATTACCGTGTTTTTCAACATTTTCTTGGCATAAGTTTTGGATTAGAACTTTGTCTTAAGCTGAACTGGAATGAACTTGAATCTCTTGCAGTGACTAACAGTAATGAACTTCTCTTGACCAACTCACTTGCATTATTGTAGAGTAAATCTCCAAATTTCTGCAAATTATATTTGCCTCCATCATAAGATATACATGCAAATATATGCAGGCAATGGTGGGCCCTAAACAGAGAATGATTTTCAAGGTCCCCTCTCTTTAACTTTTCTTTTGAAAAGGAAAGACACTCTAATTTAACATCAGTGCAAATGTTTTTGCATTAACAGAGTCAAAAAGATGAAGATTTAAAACTCACATTGTAAAAATAACTTGTATTAAAATTATTTTTCAAAACATGGCAATTAACATTTTATGCAATTAATATCTGGTGTAATTGTTGGAGACATACTATGTATAATGCAGACTAAAATATCCATATATATATATCCTTCAGATATTTTGAAATGGTTAAAAAAAGTTTTTAAGCACATTTTACTTGTGCCCATGTGGCGAGGGCACCTAAAATCAGGGGCCCTGGTCAGCATCCAACTTTGGGCCATTGGATAACGTGGCCTGGTATATATACATTTGGCTGTCAGAGCCTCTTTCTTTTGATAATAAGCTAGCCAGTGACTGGCATATACAGTATGCGCCAAAATGTATGGTACTGAAATGAAAAGACGTCCTGTTGATACCACTGTCTATTCATGTGAAGGCCCCTTGCATGACAGAACCTTCTCAGATCCTGAAGAAACAGTCCGATCACCATGTACCTGTAGCGTTCTTGGGTGACGGTAAGAGCATTGCCTTCCTCATCCTCAATGAAGTAGGGGCCTAATGTACCGTGTGTTGACTGCACACCATAGCGTCACACGTGTACTGTGTAGCGGTTTCTGGACGGTAACATCTGGCCGCTCGAAACCAAGGAAGCGAGTTGTCTGGCTACCACTTCCATACAAGTGGAAATAATGCTCAACTATGAATACATTTTCCTCCGTCGAGAGACCCATTTCCAACAGCAACTGCCCAACACAACTTCCTTTTCACTACTAGGAACACGTGCGGCTGGAGCTATGCCCCGTCGACAGATGCACATGCATGTTTGAGATGCGCGAGTTTCAGTACTGCTTTTTTGGTGCATACTGTATTTTGAGGTGAAGTTACACAGTAAAGGTTATACAAAGACATGAGTATCTCACTGATGCCAAGAGTATCATTAACTAACAGACTTGGAAATAAGAAGAGATGTGGGTGACCTCTCCTCAGCTGTGTAACCCCTTCTATTATTGGTTGGTGCATGGCCGAAAGAATGAGGCTTAGCTGGGCAAACATGTATATGTGTGT